ACTATATATTAGTGTATTTAAGAAATTCTAAACATATAAAACTAGGCAGCTTTGCCGCAGATAAAAATAAATAAAAATCAGTTGTATATTTAGACTGAAGAGTTTATCAGCCTTGCTTAAGGTAGTAACTACTCTTGGAGGTAGCGGATTGAAATCCGCTACACTCGTATTGGTTCTTGTAAAGAACGATAGGTCGGTGACCTAAATTACGCTTCCTCAAGCGCTAAGCTACGGCAGCCCCGATGCAAATCGAGATGGGGCGACGAAGAGACTGCTCCACGTCACTCGCGCGAACATCATACAGATCAAAGCAAAGTGACTTCAGGGTATAGTAGAAGATCGAAAAGTTTCACACTATTATAGACCAGACGTCTCTTAAAGAAACTAGGATGTGTCAAGTTTCGTTAGATTATGTTTTTTGTAAAAATAATACCACCCCATACAAAATAGATAAATTCCTATTATTTGCGTTTTGGTCCAAGCAAAAAGTTAGTCTGAACCATAATTTGTACCTCTCGGATCAAAAAACTGAAGATGTCATCAAGGGTCCGAGTCCACCATGTATTTAGCGCCAGCTTCCTACGTACATTTCGCACCACATTCAGCAGATCAAATGCCACCTTTACGAATCATTCACGTCGCCGCGTCTGCATAGTTGGATCAGGACCGAGTGGTTTTTATACCACCAAATACCTTCTCAAAGAACACGCAAGCATATGTGTTGACATGCTAGAGATGCTACCAACTCCGTTTGGTCTCGTACGTTTCGGTGTAGCACCTGATCATCCCGAAGTAAAGAGTGTAATGAATGAATTTAATAAAGTGGCATCCGATACACGATTTCGCTTCCTAGGGAATGTATGTGTGGGTGAAGATGTGACGTTGAGCGAATTGCAGCAACATTACCACGCTATTGTCTTGGCTTACGGTGCGGCAGGAGATCGTCAACTGAATATCCCTGGCGAGAATCTGAATGGTGTGATGTCAGCACGTAGTTTTGTTAATTGGTATAATGGGCATCCATCATTTTGTAATTTGAAGTTGGATCTGACCCAAATTGAGACGGCAGTCGTTATTGGTCACGGTAATGTGGGTGTAGACTGTGCACGTTTGCTTACAAAGAATGTGGAAGAACTCGCTAGTACAGATATTGCTGATTATGCGATAGAAGCTTTACGGAAAAGCAAAATTCGAAATGTTGTGATTATTGGGCGACGTGGTAGTACTCAGGCAGCATTTACAATGAAGGAGCTTCGAGAATTGACTAAGCTAGATGGTGTTAAGTGTGTTGTAGATCCCGAAGACTTAAGACGCAGTATAACACCTGCGTCAGAGCAGGAAATGAGAGATCAGCGTGGTCGTAAGCGTATGAATGACGTATTAAACATGGCAGCTGAGCACTTTGATACAGCTATTGACACTAAACGCGTTGTCCAGATCAAATTTCTGAGCTTACCGATAGAATTTCTAGCAGATGAGAGTGATCCGATGCGTGTTGGGGCAATTCGAGTCGAAAAAACAAAGCTTGAGGGGAAAGCGAACCAACAGCGAGCAGTAGGAACTGGAGACTTTGAGGTCATTCCGTGTGGTCTTGTGCTGCGCAGTATTGGCTACAAGTCAGAACCAATTGACATGGCCATTCCTTTTGATACCAGTCGTGACGTGATAGCGAATGACCAAGGACGCGTTGTCACTTATAGTGACGGAAAGTCACATCCTATTGTTGGATTATACTGCACCGGATGGGTAAAGCGTGGTCCGACGGGTATAATTGGCACCAATATCATGGATGCACGAGAGACAGTGAGCTGTATTCTTGACGACTTTGCTACTGGTAAATGTCTGAATAGTTCTGACAAAGACTTAAAAGGACTAGAGGCGGTAGAATCGCTGATCAAGAAGCGCAATCCAGACAAGCAAGTCGTTCGATGGGCAGACTACGAACGTGTAAACACTGAGGAGAAGCGTCGAGGTGAAATGGTTGGCAAACCTCGTGAGAAGATCACGTCTGTGGATGAGATGCTCGAGATCGTGAAAAGTGGCTACTAAATCTAAAAAACTCGAGTATCTTTTAAGTCGAACAAATGTTGAGGGGGACTTCAATCTTCAATAGAACTGAAGATCTTATCGAAAGTCGAGCCTTTTGGAATGAAATATATATAATCATGCTAGACGTTAATTTTGGGGTGTCTTTTCGATACGTTGCGCTACCACGATGGAAACAGCTGCGCCAAGCTGCTCAGTCCAACAATTGCAAAATGTTTTGACACAAATTCAAACCCTCTGCACTAAAGCTTTTGAAAAAGGTACTTCCAGCAAGCATCAACAGATTCGAGTGATGCATTGGGTGCAAAAGCTTCGCAATCAACCCACGTCAAACCCAACGTGGTTGAAAAATGTGCTGGAATATGCAAATCTGCTTCTTCAAATGATCGTGAATGGAGTACGGTCAAGAGATTGATCATAATAGCAGGAGCTTAAGATTTTTGCTTCGTTTCAAAAAGGTTTTTGAAGAGCCTTTTACGAAGATGCCTTCTCAAGGACCGTTGGCAGCACTTCCAAGGCATCAGGTGAGTTAAATTTTACCAATATCACGTCAATTTTGTTTTATAAACGTAGTGTATCTTAGGTCGCACGCTTGCATGTAAAAGCAGCAAAACGGACTAGCAGAGCTCAGTCAGCGCACTCTTCATACAGAAGAAATGAATCAAAGTCAGAAATTGAACAACCACTAAACAATAATCGCGATGATAAGGTCCATAGGGGCACTATGGTGAGTAAAGAGATCCAAACTCTCGAGCAAGATAATCAATGGGAGTGGCAGCACGTCTGGAAAGGTGCGTTTGATGAGATGCGTCAGCAATTGCAGTTGAAAACTGAGACAGTTGAGACACTTACGACTGAAAACAAGGTGAGTTGATGTTTTTCATTCTATTGAATATTGTAATTTATTGTCGGAATAGGAGCTGCGTGCTCTTGTTGCAGGATATCAAAAAGCTCAAGAAGAAATTGAGCGTAACCAGCGCGATGCAATGTCAAGGCACAATGCAGAGATTGAAAACCTTCGAGCAGTCCACTCTTTAGAGCTTTCAGATGTTAAAGCTCGACATCGCCAGAAACTACAAGAGGTGATGCTGCAGAATGAGGAAAAGCTTAGAAGACGACGATTGAAAGACGTTGGATTTCGGCCGACCGACAGCAATAATTATTCGGTAAATTCATGTTTTTGCTGGTCTCATTATTGTCGTCTAACTGGTATATTGTTACAATATTGCAATAGTCTCGAGACGCTAATGCTAATGCCAATGCTGCTTTTCTTCAATATATTGACGACTTTTATTCTTCTACGCTTCATTTGACAGCGCAAAATAAAGTCTAATTCAAATTAATCAATAAATTGTACAATATTTAATTTGATCAATATCTGAACCAATAGTCAATATGGCAAGTAAGAATTTACAAGGCGATCCACGTCGTCCTGGTGATTTGCACCCATTTGTGCGGGAACGTGTAGATCCTGATGATGCACCAAGCGACTACTACTCGTTGTTTTCGCTTGTCCTAGGCTTTCTCGGCTTTATTTTGAAGGTAAAGTAATCGTTTATGTTTTTTGGTTAGTCATTTATCTAATACTATGTAAATGTCTAAGTGGAAAGAGATGGCCTGGGGCTCGTTGGCATTGTGCGTGGGTTCATTTATCAACATGAAGTCGCAAGACATGAATATGACGCAAGTGGTAATGTCCTTCTTCTTCTCCACTTCATCCCTCGTGTCCGCATATATGGGCGGTATGATACCAATATCCCAGACTATTAAATCCCCTACTTCTTAAGGCAGTTAATATTTCTAATGAAGGATTGATCATTGTGAAACGTAACCGTTTAGAAACAATTTAGGACAACTAATCATTTAGGTTGAAACAATGTCAAGTTATCTTCATGTAATATCTGAAGCAAAAGGACGGATAATAGAGGACTCACCTCGTAAAAGTCAGGAACCAATTGGCCATGTATTGCCTCAAAAGCTGATCAAACGACCACCAGGACGACCACCAGTCAAGACGAATGCTTTCATACCAGTCAGCCTACCTCCTATTAGGTCCGCAGATTTTCAGGTACAAAATGCACCAACACTGGAAGAGAAACAGCAACGACAAATGCGCTCATTTTTGCGCAATTTTTTATCTGAAACTGGTAAATTTCAAAAATTTATCAATCTGCAGCAACATGAGGTGGATTCTGGCATGCCAGTCACAGATGCAACAGTCCAAGAAGTGGTCATCACTCTGCCACATTTGCGTGGCTTGAACCTATCAAATTGCGTTCATGTGACAGATGCTGGGTTATTGGCAATAGCTCGACACTGTAATCCAGCGTTTGATACAATCTATTTGGCTCACTGTGAACAAGTGACCGAGCTTGGATTGCGTCTATTGGCACATACCTGTCGTCTTGTTTATATTGATTTAAGTGATTGCTCACAATTAACAAATACTGCACTTCAAACGCTCGCAGCAGGATGTTGGACAATTGAGACACTTATATTGAAACGCTGTCGTGGTATCTCAGATCCCGGTCTTGTTACAATTGCACAATGTTGCAAAAAGTTGCAACATCTTGATGTTGCAGGATGTTTGCATATTGGAGAATATGGAGACCAAGCATTAGTTGCACTTGGTACATTTTGCCTTCACTTGCGTTTCCTTGATCTCTCTGGATGTCACCACGTCCAAAACTTAGGTCTTCGTACTCTTGCAAAAGGATGTCGTAGGTTACGTACTCTACGACTTAGTCAGTGTCAAGATGTGAGTAGTCACGTTTTCGGGACACTAGTGCAACATTGTACGCAACTCACGACATTGTCACTTTCAAATTGCATGCAACTCACAAATGACAATCTGGTTATGTTAAGTACCCACTGTTGTCAATTAACTCATCTCGATCTTAGTAATTGTCCAAATATTGGGACATTTGGTCTTCGTACACTTGCTCAACACTCTTCATTTTTAACATCATTACGTTTAGCAAATTGTAAACGTCTCGATGATCAAGCACTTGCTGAATTTTCTAGTCCAATTCTACGAAAAGGATCATTTGAAAAGTCTTTTCAACTTACAGAAGCTGGAATTGAACATTTAACTCAATCATGTCCAAATTTATTGACACTTAATGTGACGGATTGTCCTCAAATTCGTCGAGAATTTCTTCATCATCTCATTGCAAAGCTTGAATTTGTTCAATGGAGTTCTCAATTCATTGGATTTGAACCACTTCCAAATGCTATGGAACTTTGTCGTCAACGTGATTATCATTCTTTGGAACGTCAATGTGCAATGAGAATTCAAGTAGCGATCCGTCGAAGATTTGTACGAAAACGTTTGAAGCTACGAAGAATTCAATATCTTAAGCTAAACGTCGTTCCAAAATTTCAAGCACATGTTCGTGGCTATTTCGTACGCCAAGGTATTAAAAAGAAAAAGGATCAACAGCTTCAAGCACAAGCTGCACAATGCATTGGACGTGCGTATCGAAATATGAAATTTCGACGGAGATTTCAACAAATACAATATGATCGTTTACTGAAACGAGAGCTTGAGACTGCAGTTTTATTAGTACAAACGACATTTCGACGACTTCGGGAGCGTAAACTTGTGAAAAAACGAAGCGATGAAATGTTTAAGGAAGAGCAAAGACAAGGTCGAATCTTAGCAAGGCAACACATGATCGCAACAAAAGTGCAACAATTGTATCGTGGATATCGTGGTCGACTTGATGCTATTGAACGGCGTTTAGAAAAGAAACAACAACAAGTACGACACGAACGCGAAGCTTTTGCAGCGACGTATCTTCAGTGTGTGTATCGAGGCTACAAAGGACGAATTCTTCGAGCTCAACGCTTTGCTGAGATGCGTTTTCAATTACAACGTCATCGAAATGCTGTTAAGATACAGCAATTGTTTCGAGGATATCGAGCACGACAACATGTCGAGAGATTACGCGTGGAAGTCACGAAAGAACGAAGACTTCGAGCGGCAATTACGATTCAAAGGTACTGGCGAAGTCTTTGTACTAAACATCTAAGTGCTGTATTTCTTGGTTTACTTAAGCTGCGAGCTCGTGAAAACGAAGCTGCTCAATCAATTCAAGCGGCATTTCGAAGGCATAATTCACGAGAGTTGATAACAGCAATGAATGAAGCAGTTGCAATCGAGAAGCGTCGTAAGAAAGCTACAATTGATATTCAACGCTTGTTTCGAGGTTCTCGTGGACGAGCAGAGGTGGAAGTCAAACGAGAATTGCTTCGCTTTCGACACGATATCGAACCATTGATTGCGAAAGAATCACATTTGCAAACGGTAGTGACAGCATTAAATGGGAAAGTCGAGCAATTTCATATTCAAATAGCTGCTGATGAGCACGAGGAACAATCTCTTAAGGAAGAACTTGAGAAGACTTTGGTAATCAAGACGAAGTATCATGATTCCAGTCGAATCTCTGGAACTCTGCAACGTTATCCAACACAATTTATTCAAGTTCAGCTTGCAGATGAATTACAAGCAAAACGTGCCGAAATCTCACGTCAGAAACAAGCTATTGAGACGTTAAAGACAGAATTAAGTGATCAACAACGTCAATTGCGAGCTGTGCGACGAGAACTTGAGCCGCTTACGCAAGGTCTCGTTCAGAAAACGCGAGAGAATCGAGTTCATCGACTTCAGATGAAGGTGCGACGTGAACGACAAGCAGCAATACGAATACAAAAACTTTTTCGAGGATTTCGAGTAAGAGCAGCATTTCGTGAAGGTGGGAACTACTGGATCAAGTTGGATGTTCCATCTGAGTCTCAAAAGTGTTTCTGTAACGTAGTTACAGGCGCAACCCGACGGTATCGACCTTTAGCTATGGATTTTTTTCAAGACAATTCGCAAAAATTGTTGAAAAAATCTACAGAAGCAGCACTTTCGCGTCAGATCCAAACGTCTGAATTATCTTCTCAACATGAATACGATGCGAATACTTCACTGGCTTATGAAAGCAACAGCTTTCTATCAACTCGATCAAGAGACTTGAATTCACTTAATGAAAAGTGGATTGAGTATCTTGATCCAGAGACTAATCGTTTGTATTACTATAACGAAATAACTGGAGAATCAAAGTGGTCTCTTTCGCCTCGTGAAGACATGCCTTTGGATTTAATTGCTCACATAACGCATCTACAAGAATCTCCAGTACCATACTCATCACGAGATCAACACATGAGGTGGCTACAAGAGTCGATTACTGCGAAAGAGTGGAACAAAGTTGATGTGATTGTTCAACAGATTTATCTTCGTGAACAGAGCCAAATGGTACGTGAACGAAAGGAAAGAGTAGACGGAAGTGTTACGAATGAAGTGATGGAGAATGCAGCTTTAGCTCAGATTGAGTCAAATGGAACGTTATACTCGTGGGTTGAGTATCTCGATGAGAAAAGTGGAGCGTCTTATTACTATAATGAAACTACAGGAGAGTCAACGTGGAAAAGACCAAGTGATTTTGATTTGAATGGTGCATTACATTAAACGTTAGCACTAACGAGTTTGAATTCATATGATAAATTTCACTGCAATTGCAATTAGCAAAGCGACAATACGATTGATTTTCATTCAAGTCCACCAAAGCAAACCATTTTGGTCTCTTGATATTCTTCAAGTCCCATAAACGATCCCTCTCGTCCTAATCCAGACTGTTTGACGCCACCAAATGGAGCTTGTACAATTGAAATGACGCCTGTATTCACTCCAATCATTCCACATTCTAAAGCAGCCGCAATACGCCAAACTTTCGAAAGATCTTGCGAGAAAAAGTAGCCAGCAAGTCCAGCTTCTGTTTTGTTGGCCATCTCAATTACTTCATCTTCTGTTGTGAATTTAAATAATGGTACAACGGGTCCAAAGATCTCTTCGTTTGAGACACGCATCGTATCATTAACATTTGTTAATACTGTTGCTTGATAATAATTGCGTCCCACGTTACTACGTTCGCCACCAATTAAGACTGTAGCTCCTTTTGCAACGGCATCGTTAACTAAATCCGACGTTTTATCGCAAGCATTGGAGCTAATTAATGGTCCAAGATTCACACCTTCTTCAAGAGGTGACCCCATTCGCAGTTTCTTGACATTTTCCACAACTTTAGCTGCAAAGCTATCGTAAATACTTGCATGAACAAAAATACGATTGCTACAAACACAAGTTTGTCCTGTATTTCGAAATTTCGATGTCATTAGACCTTTGACCGCCTTTTCAAGATCAGCATCATGAAATACAATCAATGGAGCATTGCCACCAAGTTCAAGTGATAATCGCTTGACAGTCTTTGCTGATTCTTGCATTAAGAGTTTGCCAATTCGTGTAGAACCTGTAAATGAAATCTTACGTACATATTGATGATTCGTCAAGACAGTGCCAACTTGTGCTGCTTCATTATTTGGAACGGGGATGACATTAATCACACCAGGTGGTATACCGACACTTTGAGCTAATTTTGCTAATGCAAGAGCTGATAATGGTGTCTCAGCTGCTGGTTTTAAAACTGCTGTACAACCAGCTGCTAGACATGGACCAAGTTTTCTTGTGATCATAGCAAGTGGAAAGTTCCAAGGTGTGATAATACCACAGACACCAATGGGTTCTTTCATTGCAAGAAGTTTATGATTTGAAACCGAAGGTGAAGGTAGAAATCCACTTGAATGCATGATTTCATGAGCATAAAAGTCAATAAAGTCTGCAGCATATGTAACTTCTCCCTTTGCTTCGAGTAATGGCTTTCCACTCTCCATTGAAGCTATTAAAGCAAGATCGTCTGTATTCGCAATAATTGCATTGTACCAATTTTTTAATAGTTTGGACCGAGATAATGGTGTGGTTTGACCCCAAATCTTTTGAGCTTCATAAGCAGCTTCAATAGCCTCGTTTGTCTCACGACTTCCCATATGTGATACACGTGTGATCTCGTTGAGTGTGGAAGGATCAATGACAGCAAAATCTTGAGCTGAATGAGCTTTTACCCATTTCCCATTAATAAATCCTGTTGACTGGATGAGTGACTTATTGCGTACATTGGAGTGAAAGAAACGACGGATTAACGACATTGTTCAAAGGTGTAGGGGGCGAATTTGGAAGTGGCATTGAAGTCAGTAAAAAATAGTGACACTAAAGTTCGTTTTCAAGACTTAGATGGCACCTTTGATGCATGTGATACCGCGACTTCTTATACTTTACGGCAGTGAAACGGGCAATGCACAGGATGTAGCTGAGTTCATTCAACAACGTGCATTGAATCGACATTTTGTAGATACGCAAAGTTTGGCAATGGATGAGTTTCCTGTGGCCGATATGCTTCCACAATGTTCGACTGTCGTCTTTGTTGTATCTACAACTGGAGATGGAGAAGCTCCTGAGAATATGCGTATGAGTTGGCGATTTTTATTACGTAAGACATTAGGATCACAATGGCTGGCTAATGTACACATTGCAGTCTTTGGTCTTGGTGATTCTAGTTATGCAAAGTATAATGCAGTAGCTAGACGATTACAAGCGCGTCTTGTACAGCTCGGGGCAATTGAAATTATTGAACGAGGTCTTGGTGATGATCAGCATGTTTATGGCTACTTTGGTGTCTTAACTCCGTGGCTTGAAAGACTCTGGACAGCACTTTTAAGACTATATCGAATGCCAGAGAATATGGTTGTTGATGACTCGCCAAAACCAATGCAACCTCATTATTCTATCATTGAACACGGAAGAGAATGTAGTGAAATGCAAGAAATAGCATGTTTGACGCCAAAAATGGATCAATCAAACTTTTATGATCCACCACGTACCACAATTGGACGTGAGAAGGGTATAATCTGGGCTTCGCTTATGGTGAATGAGCGAATTACCGCTGAAAACTGGGAACAGGATGTAAGGCATTTGGAATTTCAAGTCACTGATGACTTGAGATCAAATGATGAAGCTATTTCGTCATTTAGAGCTGGAGACGTTGCAGTTATGTACCCTGAAAATGTAATTGGTGTAGACGATATGCTGCAGTATGTGAAAATGGATGGTGATACTGTGATTTCAATCAATGCTGCTGATGGCTCAAAACAGTTTGATTTTCCTTCGCCGACTACGATTCGAGACTTATTTACGAAATATTTAGCGATTCTCGAGACACCACGTCGAAGTTTCTTTGAAAAATTATCTCTTTATGCAGTTAATGAAGAAGAAGTGAGGATCTCTTGTGCTGATTTTTTAGAGTCGATTTACTTACGATTTATGTATTTTTGCCTCTGTAGAAAGAAAAGCTCGAGGAATTAGCATCAGCCGAGGGTGTCGACTTGCTATATGACTATTGTATTCGTGAGAAGAAGACGTACGCAGAAGTTTTAATTGATTTTCCAAGCGTGAACGTTCCGTTGACGATTCTAATGCAGCTGATTCCCCGTCAACAACCGCGATCATACTCAATCTCATCATCGTCTTTACTACACCCAGGACGCGTAAGTATTCGGTCCCTTAAAAAGGCTCTTTTCTTCAGCTGTAGCTCTTCTAATCTCATATATCCCACCAGGTGCACTTGACTGTGGCAATTGTAGATTTCTTGACACCATACAAACGACGTCGCCTTGGTATCTGCTCGTCCTTCTTCAAGTCATTAGATCCATCAATAGAGAAAAAGCGTGTGCCAATGTGGATTAAAAGAGGCGTCTTTACACCGCCAAGCTTAAAGCACGACTTGTTACTAATCGGTCCTGGTACTGGACTTGCCAGCATGCGAGCCGTAATACAAGAGCGTCACGTTTTGCGTAAAGAAGGCCACGATGATTGTATTGGAGCCACGTACCTTTACTTTGGATGTCGCCATGAAAACAAGGTCAAAAATTTAAGGCTTTGAAAGTGACATGTCTATCATGCAATAATTATTTTTGTTGTTTTTAACAGGACTTCCTGTATCGAGATGAACTCCGTGGGTTTGTGTTAACTGGTGATCTTACTGAGCTGCACACCGCGTTCTCACGTGATCAGGTACGCATCGATTTGTATCGATATTGTTTGTTTGATCAAACTTTAAATATATTTTATCAGGATCATAAAATCTACGTGCAGACACGTCTAGCAGAGCAAAAAGAGACAATTTTTGACTTTTTGATGAAGAGCAATGGATGTATTTACATTGCTGGATCTGCTAAACGAATGCCTACGGATGTGTACGAAGTATTACGTGATATTCTTCGTTCAGTAGGAAAAATGTCTCTTGGAGACGCTGAGAAGATCATGAAGACGTTGGTTCGCAATAAGCGCTATGTCGTAGAAGCCTGGTCGTAAAATTATTGCAATATCACAGTAGATTTCTGAAAATTCGTTTTGTCGTATAATCCTCTATGTAATTAGTCTAAAAATGAATGATGCAAACATATTGGAGCTGGAGCAGCATGTGCGTACATTTGTGAAGCTCACGAATCTCACACAGACATTGCAATTGCACGAATGGAACATTGAATCGCTTCAAAGAGCGTTGGAATGGTCGTGTTTAGCTGAAGATGTGGCAAATATAAATGACACTCAATTCGACGTCGAGAAGCATATTCGTCAATGGTTTCCAGTCGCCACATTGCCCACGTTGCCTCTAGATAGCGTACTCACCATCGAATCTTTGCGTCTTGCGAGGTTTCATTTACTACGATCCATTTTGCAAAGTCCATTCTTAGCATCACATCCGACGCGATCGGAATTGGTGGTAGCAGTACTTCAGGAACTTCAAAATAGACGAGAAGATGCTTTGTATCCTTCGACTGATGATATTGAAGAAGATTCACCTCATAGGTAGCATATTAATGGACCTATAGCGAGAATGTATTGACAATTGTGTGATTAGTGCGTTGCTTACTGAAGCGATTGTTGGACCAAAGCGAACGAATGCTCTGCTCGCAATAGCAAGAAAATTAAGTGACAGTTGTAAGCGTGTGCGTGTACAAGGTATGACATACATTGTTTTGCTTGTTTATTGTATAAGGCATTAAATATCAAGGCTGGACTTGTTAAGTGCTTTCAGGGTGGGTTGAGATCCTTCCATTAAAAAGCTATGCACTTTTGCCACGTACGCTTTATCTCAAATCTATGGCAAAAACTTTGCAACGAAATGCTGTCGATGCTCGAGCTGCTATAAGCCCGAAAACGTATCAATGCTTTTTAGAGGACCTTAGGGACTGTTTTAAGGCGCCGGATGGGAACGATGTTCGGGTATGTTCAACGTATTTAATTGTCTAAGATATTGCCTTATTTCGGGTTACTTCATTGCAGGAAGTTGTTGTGTTAATGCTGGTCATGTGCGATTGGCCAAAGGAAGAGCCTGTGCAGCTTGAAGGAATGGTGACTGACCTTGTAAACATTGTGAGTCAATGGGTCACGGAGAAGCCTATTCGATTTTGGACTTTCCACCCGTATTTAGCTGCCATGTTAGCAAGTAAAACAGAAGACCTTGTACGTGCTTACGTCTCGGAGTTATTCACAACAGGACTATTGCAACCATGTACGAATTCATGATTCGAAAGGTGTTCATTGAGCATTGATAAACTTATTATGGTTCGTAGGGGAACGCGAGTTCGTCGATCGGATCGCAACTCTTGTTTTACAACCGAAAGGTGTGGAGAATATCCTAAAGCCTGCGTTGTCAAAGCTCGATCCTCATTTACAACAAGTCTACTTCAATGTCGATTTGATGCAACACTCTTCATAAATATCACGAAGTTGGCTTGAGCGCAATAGATCGACCAAGGGTGAAAACCTTTTTTCAAGCCGTTATCCCAAATGTTATGGCTCATCAACCACTTCAAATTTATGGAGAGGAGGGACAAAAGTTGCCGCATTGTCTGGAATAGTGAAGGAAGCGCATGAGTCGCTGTTTGTGCCGATTGGAACTTAAGCACACAAATATCAAAATTATTATTGCAGCAATTGAAGCGGATTACATTCGTTTTCGTCTGTGAGGATGTGAATACCCGGATAATGTTATACAGGTGAATCGAAAGTATCATGCGGTTGTAAATCCTGTAAGATCGGTATCCAGCGTGGCATACAACATAGTTTTCAACTCCTTCTTGCTATTGTATAAAGGCAAATCCAGACGATTGAAACACGCGTGGCTCGAAATGTACTGCGTCGTTTTGTAAGGTATTCCCTTTAAGTTAAATGGGCAAAGACGGCCATCGTAACTTGTGAGGCCACGAAAACCCGACAGAGGGACACAAGCAGATCCAGTTGCGAAGAGCAGAAGACGACGGCGATATTCATTTGGCATTTGACGAACAATCTCCCAGAACCATCGAGTTACGTCAGCTTCCTCTAGATTCGGTGACATCACAGTATGTCCCTTCCAATCCGCAACATCAATTTCAGGAGACCCACAAAGCAAATAATCGAACTCTTCAGGGTCAAATGTCAAGAGCATCTCGCGAGGAATAACTTCATATAGACCTTTTAAAAAAGCGTACATTTGATCTGCAACACTTTCAAAGAGGACATATCGGAAGCGACGATCCAAATACTCGCTCTTGTTAGCGTCAGTAACGGCAATGTTTCTTCCATGCGGGATCAAATCCACCACAACCTTTTCAGACTCATTCACCTGTTCAGTAAGACTAAAGTCAAGTTCTAGATCGTCCACATTGTCATTATCCATTAGCCAGCGCAAACTACGATACGTCTCTGGGTCAAGAAATTCCATGTCAGCGAAAGTCACTGGTACACCTAAGATCACCTTTAGCAATGGCAAGGCAAGATGAAAGCCCCAGATTCCACCTTCTAACAGTGCGCGGCCAATTAAACGCCCTGTGGCAAAGTAATAAGTAAGATGATCATCACCAACTTCTACACGAGATTGTGGATTCAAAAAGTAACTCTGATCCGCCTTATTGGCGCACGTAAAGAGCCGCAACGTTGGGGATGCAAGCAGTTCATTCACTAGCATAAACCATTCACGGTGCACACCTCCAGCATCCACACCACTTTCATCTAGAAAATTGATACGCATAAATGAACGTAGATTCTTAGGTTGAATACATTGCATGTGATCCATGGACTCTTCAAGCATGTAATTACGGTGAACTGACAGCTTGAGAAACTCCACTTCTGCGGGTACTATCAGCGATGCCGTAGTGACGACAAAGTGAGCATATTTAGTTGGAAAGTCACTCGAAGCCAAAGAAATGGCCTCTTTGCGTCGCTCTGGACCAGCATCAGACAACATTGATTTGCCCGTCGGAAACTCCGTCGGGTCGGAAGCTGACGCTTCTACCATCTCAACCTTTACGTCTGTTGGTAGTACTGTTACATATGAAGCGTCTTCTTTACTATTCGATGGATGTTCCACAGCAAGTACAGGCTCCGTCTCTGAAGTCATCACGTCATGAACTTCATTCTCTTCATGCTCTTCGTTTGATATCTTCTCGTCTTCTAGCTTCAATTCTTCTGAAATGATAAGTCGCACGGTATACCCAGGCATCAACGAGTCGATTTCACTACTTACAGGCATATTACCTCCCCCACTGCGATACCAAAAGAAATTACCCTCAACGTCAAGTTTCCTACTCCACTCACGACGATTCCTCGCGCGTCGTTGCTGTCGACTTAAAGACGATAATTTTCGAGGTCGTGGAGACAAGAGATGTGTTGATTGACGAGACTTTACCATGTAGACAGAGCGTTCTCGGCTTGAAATGGTTTCACCAGACTGAGAATGGTCCTGCTGCTCACCATCTTCATCACTTTCATCATCGGCTGTCACCATCGAGAGCGATGGCAATTTATCACCACATAGTACACAGTGTTCAAAACGTCGAAAGTTTTCAAATTCACAACTGGCACAGACACTATAACCAGCCTCAGCTTCTCTTGTCGCGGCATCAATTCGATGATCAACGGATTCGCCTGATAGTAACGGGATCTCCATATCTAGAAGATGTCGATTCCGTCGACATGCCATGAGCCATACAACAAAAAAGATGACGCAAAGCAGTAGCATTCCTACTCCCTGGTACAGCATCGATGCTTCCGTCGAACGGTCATTATCCATCAGTTAAGGAGGTCACCGAACGACTATGTCAGACGTCGCGTATTGGAATCTACACAAAAGCCAACTGTGTATCAGCAAAAGACTGGAAAGACTCACGATTACGCCTTCCCCCCATTTAAATGTACATTTTAAAAGAGAGGACTGGCTGTCAGTAAAGTGGGTGGCAGTTCCATATGGTAGAATTTGAGAAGAAGACTGCGTAAGCAACCACATTACTACGTATAACACTTCTCTTTTAGAATATTGAACCTAGACTATACGCCATCATCAATAATCGAGATCTGCATGTTCCACTTACTCCCTATAATTTATGGCCTAATTTAATAGTGCACAAAGGTACTATACGGACGGTATTCAATGTAATGTCTCCTCCTTGTACTAGATATCAGCTCTGTGGATAGAAGTACATACAGCAATTAATTCGTATACAATTGAGCTTGCTATTGTTATTGAGACAATACTTATTGGGAATAAGGCTAAAATATATATATAAAAATAATTTATACATCAGGACTTTATATACATCCTGCAATATCCATATGACAATACTTTACATTGAATAAATCGACATAGACATTATGTCGATTCTACCTCTAGCGAAAAAACTGATAAAAAAGAAGCGAAACTAATCATGCAGCCTTGACAAGTCTCAAACGCAGAAACGACAAGCTACTGGCCGTAACACAGTTCATTTGAAGCTTTCCAGGCCTCACAGTACTTTTACCACAATTATTATTCCATTATTTTCTGGTGCAATAACTTAGAACGGGGTACGTTGTGCGTTACACATACAGAAATGATGGGAACTGGGTTGGTGCGACACGTGTTCATGCAATGCGTGAGTTAGGGGTTTATTGATTTTAGAAATGTAACGCTGCATCAGCTTTCTCGCCTTATTCTAAATATAGCCCTCCGAATCTAAGCAAGCTCAGAGTAAGTAATTCTGATGGTCTTGAACTTAATATATTATAGTGAACATCCAGATTACACTATGTCTCTTGAACTAAGGGCGAAGTACCATGATGAAGTATCGATATTTGTACTCGGTATCAATCAGAGTGATGGTGCTTCGGGTTAGAGTCTTGTTACTAAATATAGTAATGCATATATCGCGATTTCTTAACCAGCATTACTTAAAAGCACAATGCACTTACATTGGGTACCTGCGAGGCATTCAATTCGGCATCCTGATGTATTTATCTTACGTGGGATGGTCATGCGGACTCTGATAGACAAAGGTGCCTCATTCACGTCTCTGTAGAAGTCGTCGAGGTCTTCCGCTCTTACCATTCTTCAAGGAAGCGGTTAGTGTCTCCTTGAGTAGGAACACAACAACCCCTGACGCACAAGGGTCGGTCAAGTAAAACGTGCGGAGTCTCATGAGCGAGCTAGGGAGATGGACACCATTCAAGCTGAACAACAAGGAGCATCTTTTAGCTATCGAGAAGCACCGTGATTATCACGAAAGCTACATTTGTGTAAGCGATTGACGCTGAAAGGGACGAGAAATTTCGTGCACTCGCACAAATAACTTTCTGATTCAAAATTTCGGCGTTTAAGATGCACAAGTGTGAGCCGGTACACTACACTGAAAGGCAAAGCTGAGCACTCTTTGAATAACAAAGTATTTGGATTGCAAAGTGCTTCAAGGAAGTTCTCCTACACGCGATAAATGTGGTCTATCGGATCATCAATATGTGAGTGGTCGGTAGACATCATGTCCAATCTGGTGCTCAGTGCTAACCAACAGCGATCGCCGAAATTTTGCTGTAAAACGTAGACCGCGATCCGAAAAAATGTTCAACGGCAAGCCATGTCGGGTCAAACTTTGTCAATGTACAAGTTGGTTGTATTTGCTTCTGTAACAGCTTGCTAGAAACAGTGAGGTAAGACATTTTTCTCAGAGGGTAATCAAAGACGACGATGGCGGTATTACTGGAGGCGTTGTTTGAAAGGCCACAAAATAAAGTTTATACTGATGTACTCCAATACCCGGCCGGGACCGGCAGGCTAATTGTAACGAGGTTTAACGTACTCTTGTATGAAAGGGTGGGTCACACAAGATAATGTGACCGTACAAAGGGTGGATTACACAATCCGGGGTGAGCACACCATCGTGTGGCTACACCGTAACAAGAAGCCACTACATGGTGGGACTGCCAGTTGTTTTGCACATTATTTAGGATATGTGATTTGATTGTAAAAAACCTACGGTTTTTAATAAAGGCGGCTTTGCCGCAAAAAAAACGTTTCAATTTTAAACGGAAGAGTGTGTTTGCCTTGGTTAAGGTTTTGGGCTCTTGGGAAAGCACTCGTGCTGGTTCTGGTATACAACGAAGGTCGGTGACCTTAATAAGCTTACACTCGTGCTGGTTCTGGTATACAACGAAGGTCGGTGACCTTAATAAGCTTCCTCTAAGCAAAGAGCTACGGCGGCCCCGCTGCACGAATCGGGGCTTCCATAGCTCTTTACCAACAAATGGGGCGAGAATTCAAATTTTTGACGCGTTTCACGCGTGTGCAGAAAAATGTTATTTATACATCAATACATACGATCACCGAGCCATATATCCATTCTCTACCGAGTGACCACCGCATCATTTACCATGTGTGTCGAAAAGTATCCTTTACTCAATGTCCTTGTCGTGATGTGATGAGTCAGGGCTTAAATACAGCAAGACTTAGGATAGGAGATGATAGTGCGAACGCTTCGACGAAGCTGCGTTCGAGTTAAAAAATCATACGTTTCCAGCGCTTTAGGCATCACTACACGTTTTTTTATTTAACCCGCAAATTGTACGAAATTTTCCATGAATGAGCACTGTCAAGCGGTTGCTCATTGGATGGGCTACACAAATCGCATCCACCACCATATTGAGCAGACCAGGCTTGTATGTCATCCCAAAAGTATACTTGGCAAAACGGAAAAAATACTGCGTCATTCTCCAGTAACGACGTCATTATGCGCAACGCGTCACAGACTACATGAATTGGGTGATTTGAATTTGAAAGCGCCAGTCAAAGCGCTAATGATACTCTCTATCACGGCCTTCAAGGCTCGGCACCATGTGTTATTCTTTGATCGAGATCGGTGAGAGGCCGTACCATGTCGGCACCATTGCGCTACATTTGTGTTAGTAGTTGAACGAGCCAATCCACTACCATTTATCCCTTTTGGGACGGATACACTGACCAATATATAATGGCCTTGATATTTGCGGGATCTACCCGCACGACAATTTTCTCAGTGAAGCATCACAAATGGGGATTTTGTTTGCGCCAAAGACACTTGACTATGTTCACAAACAGCTCATTGATGGGTATACTCTCGAGCACTGCTTTCATATGGTAAGAACAATGTCACATCCGATTTCCCGTTCTCTGCCAGTTATGGACGAATATATCGTCAACACACACTATGCATATGCGCAATTTAGCCTATAGTCTGTATTATCAAAGTATTGGACGTGGCTGATGCGTTACACAGTCCCTGTGGTACAGTCAGATACTCCTGGAGCATACAATTGAAAGTATTTACCCCAGGGAAGGATTTCATCTTCCTAACATGACTTATGCATCATATTTGAACCGGAGTATTGGCTACATTAAGTCGGTGCCATGTCGACACATCTCTTCTCACCCACCAAAACCGATTTATGTTTTACGAAGAGAAAATGTAGACATGGTTATATTATTCCCTTGGTAAACGGCCATCAAAATGTGATGCAACGTTGGTAACAGCCACCAGATCAATAACATGACGCTCTTCCCCATTTCGGTGAAAATACTCATGACGGGTCTTCCACCGTCATGTCGTGGTTAACCTGCGACAAAAGAAAAGTAACTTCCATATTATCAAAGATTCGTTTACAGTGCTCTGCGATTGCTTCCGTGAACGAACATGCTCATGATGGATGATAAGCTCAGCATCTCCTTCAGTACCAATTGTGCCATTCCCTTGATATCCTTCTTGCAACCCAATTCAAGCATACCTTTAGGCTAAATTTACAAAAGAGCTTTGCTTGGCAAAATGGGCTAAGTCTATATCCTTTAAGACGACCTTGGTCACTCATTCACAAATGTACAGCATTCTTGTCTTAAACCTGTGGGTATTCAAATCTCTGAACGGGAGACATGTCAAAAGATTAACCAAACGCTCCATCAGAGATGCACGTGGGACACCACCACTAATTCTAGTCTCAATAGCGAAACACTGGCGACCGCGATAACCCGATCGTTTTTTTGTACTTCTCTTGAGATCACGGCTCAATGCTGTCTCCTCCTTCCGAGCATTGCTGAAGGCACCCCAGAACATCAAGGCTATTTTTCAGACAATTTTATGTCCTGTACTGGAGCTATAACTCCCTCACGCCCACGATAAGAATACACATAATTTACTGAAGAGAGTTTCAAACCACTAAATTTTACTAACAGAGAAGTGCGTTAGCACGTGACACGTAACGGTCTACATACTGTATCATGATGTATGTAACATTATATACCTATGTAAATGGCCACACTCAGTGGTGGTCTTGATGCGGACGACGGAGCTCCGCCATGGTTAGATCCGTAAGACACGAGGAGCATCATGCAATGCATATACAATCGTTATTGAGCATAGCATATACATAATACCTTTTTAACGTAGCAAACATAATCAACTTTCATTTGGACCTGGTCTTTTCACTCACAAATTTTAATAATAGCAAATCAATGCAAAGAAGCCTCTCGGTTTTTTGCTTGATGATAGAGCGTGAGAACCCATCCTGCGTGCATTGCTGACGCTGAAACTTCGCTTCAGATCCTACTTTATGTCGGATGCACAGCCGCGCCGTAGCCCTAGTAGTCAATATGATTGCCGAGTCTCGTTTAAGTGAAAAAAATACGTAAAGCTTGAATACATGCCCTCGGAACAACTAAACACGCTTAATAGCTCGTGAGTCGAATCTGTCGCAAGGCAATAGCATCTTAAGCCGCCTAGAGACTCAAGAAGATAATTGAGGCGCTTATCACCTGTTAAAATGGGTCGGTGGAACACCTCCAGGTTGGTCACAACCAGTCGTCAGCAGGTGCATAATCGGCATAAATCGTGATGTCGCATACATCAAGCGTCCAGTCTCTCACGGAAAAGGGCAAAATATTATATCTGGGTCAGAACATTTGAGATGGCTATTTCTGGCGTTCGTGGTATCCAAATTAGGAAGGCACGGCGATCTTGGGCACTATCGTGCAGAACTTGTGTAAAGAGGCATCCTTGATTTGAGAACAGTTTATACGACATTGTTACCACCGCCAAACTTGGTATACTGTGTGGGTTCAGATTGTGGTACACCCGTCAATGGGAATGAAGATGAGTGGATCAAATCCAATTGTTGTGATCTCTTATCACTCCGATGGGCGGCAGGCTTTGGATTAGCGGACTTCTGCTATGATCTCCAAATTGATGTAAGTCACACCAACGTCTTCCCGGTCAACTCTGCACGTTTTATAACGGTGTTTCACGTATCCTTGTATAAAAGAGCGGGTCAAATCAAATGATGTGACCGTACAAACGTGTGGATTACACAAGTTGGTAACAAGAAGCTACTACGTGGCAGGATTGCCAGTAGTAATGTATATTAATTAGTTTTAGGTAAATGTGGCTCTACCGCAAATAAAACAATTAAGTACACTTTCAATTTTGAACAAAAGAACTTCTTTACCTTGACTAAGGTTTTAAGCACTTTTGGAGGTAGCGAAATGCGATCCGCTACACTCGCACTGGCTTTTGTAAGGAACGTATGGTAGGTGACCTTAGCTTAGCTTCCCGAACTACGGCAGCCCTGCTGCACCTTTACAGGGCGGTGGTTTTGTCGAATTTGTGTGGGGATTAGCGAAGTTGGGGGGGATGAAGATCTACGAGCATCAGAAGCGATAGGCCACAGTCATGCTAAGAACTATCGAGATCATAAAGCTGTCGATAAGCACTGCGATACACAGATGCTTTATATGTGGAATGTTCACTCTGTGAGCCTTATTATTTTGGTTGAGATACATGAAGGGTCGAGCTCTCCCGCATAGTCGTCTGACAAACAACTCTCGTGAGGCAAACAATGCCTTTTGATAGGCAGACAAAGGCTAATTGGGTAAAATTTATTCGATTCCTTGTTGGAAATGTCGAGAACGCTGATGCCAATCAATAAAAGTAATAATCAAAGCTCAGGACTCACCGTTGTTTGTTGTCATCGTTAAAATCTCGTACATTGCAAAGGCGTTGAAGGTCCTGATATGTTCAGAACCCTCGATTTGTAAGACCGTCAACCGTGCACGGGGCACTGAAGTTGCCGAATACGGAAACGGTATACTTGAGTCTCGCGACGGACACACTAGTGAATATGCCAACGGTTGTTTGTGAGCCTCTCTGTGAAACTTGATTGTTTCAGCGCACTGAATGTTGCATCACCTTGAACGTGGTGTCGGGATATGACCTTATCCAAGGTGTGGCGTAATCTGAAAGTCATGCGTCGTAGATGCATAGGATGTTCCCATGGTAAGAGCAAAAGCGTTTGTGGTTAGAGCATGAAGCTGTGATAGCTTTGATGCAGAACATGAAAACGTCTGAATTGATGAGCAGCTATATTGCTATGTGCCTTAAGTACAGCTTGAAAGCAGAATCCTCAGTGAGCCGTGTGAGCTCAATGAGACAGAAAATAGCGATCGTATGCCACCAGAGAGTACATATGCTGAGACAGGGATGAGCGACGGCATGTCGGGTACGCCTAATGGAGCGTCTAATTATAGCTGTCAGCTGGATTCCTTGTGCAAGATCCGCTGAAGATAAGCGAGGGCCACTACGTGCCGCGGTCTACAGCATCACAAACGATGGAAACGGGTGGCTTTAAGTCACGCGTCGAAGGGTCATGCCCCAAATTGATCTAACCCTGTTATGATGTGATAGTACCACTGTCAGCACAATTGTGTGACGCGTCCACCATGCGGAGTAGTGAAGCCCCACGGGCTTAAAAACGTCAATTCATACGTAAACGGAGTGGGTTTTGGTAGTCCTAGGGGGTGTCAGTGCCTCGTTATTTCAGGCATACGTATCCATTGCGTTCGTAGAGTTATATTGAGGAAATGCTTGTAAAGATTTTAAACATACACAGTGAAACCAACGGAATGATACACTTAAGTCTTAAGTGGGGCTTAAATTATGATCCAATCTGTCATGTCATTTAGGACATTGATGTGTGTGAGAGGAACGTCTACCTTCTAGGCTCATAGGGATATTTTTGCTGATCAACGTGGTAGATACAAATGATCAATCACATCAATTGCCCCTTGATTAGGAACTGTATCATTATTGATCTGCTTTCTGGAACAAAAAATCGCGTCACAAGTCAAAAGCCTTTGCCAGTGCCCTTGGCCTAGTCACTAAGTAGATCAACTTCCCATCAATGACAGCAATATCCCACTCACCGCAGTAATCTATCAAGTAGGATGCTCTGAGAACGTATGATCACACCACGACGAATCTATGACGTACCATCGATTGTCAAATGTCTAATGACATAAACTTTGAGCCGCATTATGCCCAAAAGCAGCCTGTATAGACGTTGCATTCGTCCACAGTAGTACAATAAACAGAAAATTAAATGTTATATAATGTTGAAATATTTGCGAGTAGTGCTCGAGTGCATGTGCATTTATATGCTGTTCGTCATTATCACCAAATGTGACTCTGGCGCGGACAAATTTCTTATTTTGTGTTGCATTACTGGGAACAACTGTCGTGCGAGTAGATCTTTAAAGTGCAAGGTCATAATCAATTGACCAGTGCATCTGTTTCAAAGAGAAATTTGGTAGTGGTTTTGCTTTGCCAGCTACTCGCACAAATATAGCGCAATTATACCGACATGGTACGGTCTCAAACCAATCTCGTTTCAAAGAGCGTCACATGGCGCTGGACCTTGGATGCCGCCGAGATAGAAAGTCTCATGAGTGCCTCCTGAATCCAAATCAGTCACTTAATGTCGCATGTGAGTCTTGTGCCAGCACAATATGTCGTGGGGATACTTCAAGTACGCTAGACGCGTCATTGCGTCTGCTCAATGTGGCGCTGGAGAACTATCCAATTCAAGACAACAGCTACTCGCTACAAACTATGAAATCAACAAAAGTACTTGACCGTAAGCTCTTAAGATTTATACTGATTATGCATCGTTGAGCGAAGCGACATGTCACCTGAGAATGACGCAATGTTTTCCTGGTTTGAGTATATATATATATGAGATAACATATAAACCTGGGCGGCTTTGTATGACGGCGGATATGATTTTTAGCATCCCGTCTTACGAGCTATGGCTTGATAGTGCGCATTAATGGAACGATTCGTACGATGTACATGTTAAATACAACACATGTAGTGTTACCTAAAGCTTCGGAAACGTATGATGATTTTAAGCTCGAACGCAGCTTTGTCGTAGCGTCTGCACCGTCATATCTTGTCGCAAGGCTTGCTGATTTCAAGTATTGACTCATCGTGCGGTGGTATATCAATACTGTTCGACTCACATGGTAAGTAATGCGGTGGCCATCGATTTATGGCTCGGTGAGCGCTATGTATTGATGATGAGTGAGTGAACGATTTATGCACACGTCTCACCGCGTCCGTTGGCGCCTTTGGTTAACCTGCCAGTCCTGGTCAGGCACTAAAGTACATAATTATAAGCTATATTAATGGCCTTTCAAACGACGTGTTCGGTAATACCGCCACAGTCGACTTCTATGGCCGTCTGAGCAAAATAGCATATCTCACTGCTGCCAGCGATACTGTTGCGGGTGAGAATACAACCAATCTACTCATTGACAAAGATCTACCTGACAGGGCTGGCCAGTGGCCATTATTTCGTAGCGCGGTCCACGACTTACAGCGAATTTTAGCGAACGCTGTTGGTAAGCGCTGGGCAACGGATTAAACATGTTGTCTGTCGGCAACTCACAGACTGATAGTCAGATGAAATGTGGTAATCTTGTGGTGGAGAATAACCACCGATGAGCTTGCGCAGAGAGACCGTTGTGCTGAAGTAATGCTTCCCAACTTTTGAAGACGCTGATACCCTGATTATGCTCCCACAGACTTTACTTTTTCCTATAAGTTGGTTAACCTTCGCGCTTCTTTGACATCGCCACGAAGCATCTTCGGTCTTGGTAGGGAGTTGGCTTTTGATCTGCTGATACCTGCCCGGTTACATTTTGTAGCAGACTCGAGGAATTTTCGTAGCGTCATGCGCCTTGTGCGACAAGATAAGAAAAACATCATGCGGACACCAGAAGCAGACGAAACGCAATTAAAAATATATTTTGCAAATGGTTCTACACACGTGTGTCTTTTTTCTAAGTTGCGCCCCCACGACATCGGACCGTATGCAGTCATCGCACGCGATTGAGATATATGCTCAGTGTCTCGAAGAAATTCTTGCGTTGTACGTGAGCGTGTTGAAACCATACCACAATCTTGCACTAACGAGCTACATATGTTCAGCAAATACAAAAACTACGCATCAGACCATGCCTGGCCTATCTTTGATCCTATCTAGATTGTATTAACCGATAAAGCCCTGCGTACTGCGTGACAATTTCAACTCTGTGTGTATGATTCGTTTCTACTATCAAGGGAAGATAGATATGCAAGCACATGCTGCAAAGTGTGCAATTTGTGCTCGAGATCAGCACATGGTGAACTCACTGTTACGGTAGTACGCAGCACTGCGTCAAATGAGCAACAAGCAGATTGATCACTCACCTTTTTTGTTTGAAATGCGAATAAGTGTCATTATAACGCGGGAAAATCGAATCAAAAGATGCTGGGCAGCTCTCTTGCAGATAAGAGCGCGTTGGTATTGGAGTTAGGGGCGCGTTTCGCGCGGTGTGGAGTATCCGGTGAGCGCTCTCCTCGATGTGTTGAGCCCTGGCAGGTACTACGTCAGATCGTCGAAATCAGCATTCTAATTACTAAAATAATCGTGAAATGTAGATGGGGAACATGCTGCAAAAGCCACGGAGCGCGACGGAGTGGCACCAATTTCTATACCCGATGCTAAACAAAGTGTGCTTTGAGTGCGTTTGGTCGATTAAGATGGAGAATTACAGCGAGAGCTAAGCATTTATATGAATAACAGGCTACTGCTCGTCAATCCAACACGCCGACACTTTGTAGTGTGCGAGGATCTATTACTTCCGCGCGTATTCCGGACGACATTGCTCGATATCCTCTACAATATGCTTAAGGTTGACCCTCAGATGTAATTGCTGAAGTAAAGTATCTGAATAAGGTAGCATTACAATCTTTTAGGCTTCTGCAGTGACGTTGGTGCCCTCGATGCTGGCAGTTTTGTATGCTACTGCCAACCATACTGCATTGGTGGTGGACTGTGGGTGGTCAGAGACAAGAGTACTGCCAGTGTATAAAGGAATTCCCTTGCCTCACCTTTACGAGAGTAAGTTTGGTAATATTACTGCGGGACATGCAATTAAGCTGACAGACGAAATGAGGATGATGCAGCTGTTTCGATTGGCAGTCGGGATTGCTGTGAGATTATACAACGAGAGCTCAATAATTTGCAAGATCAACCAATGGAAAGTTCCCAGATGATTATATCTGTGACAGGAGCCATTGCAGAAGATATTCTTGAGCGGGCGTGCTTTGCACAACAAATAGTAAGACAATTTGTGCGTGTATATTACTCTCAACAATCACTAGAAAAACTTTTGTACGACTCAGGATCCACTGCAAAACATTGTTGACGCTAAATTTCAAATGCAAGACAGTGCTGTGCTGCAGGTTAGTTGCGTTTTTAAACTTGAAAAACTACTTTTGAATAAAGATCCAAAGCATTCTTGACAGGTTCCGGGAAATCTTCGCACAGATGCAGTAGAACCGCTTCTTCTGGGTACACAAGTTAACGATATATCAACATTACATTTTCCTTACAAGTGTATTTACCTAGTTTTGCTTGACAAGGTGGTGAGAAATCGGAAGGAAACTCTATCGTAGACGGCATTGTAAACGTGTTAAAACGGACCCCGATCGATGTGAGAGCGGCCATGCTGGAGAATCTGCTTTTGGTGGGAGGGACTGCGATGATTCCTGGTATTGTTTACGCATAGAGCACATCATAAAAATGAGTTGGTAGACTAATGAGGTCATGCGCTAACCAGGCCTATTGCATCGTGTACTTGCTGAAGTATGCGAGGCGTTGCGACAAGACAATGAGTTTGCATCTGCCTCTGCTACAATTGACCGCACGCAGCTCGTTCCGACTTATTTTCCACGCAACATGCTTGCCTGGGTTGGTGGTTCAATTTATGCTGCAACTGAAAGTGCGCGAATGGCGGCCATCACCTCACAAGAGTACAGCAGTTCCAAAGGCACTTGTATCCCAGACTGGCTCACTGTCGCTGAAGACGAATTTTAAGATGGCAATGACAAATATCTGAATGCTCCACGAAATTGCTGCATTTTTTTGAGTAAGGATAGAGAAATCCGATCGACGATATCGATGGTTACCAAGATATTCGCTTTATTCGTATAAAGGGTAATCATGCACTCTACTTACTTACTGGACCGCAATCCAAGTGGTTTCCCTGTGTCGTCCCACGGGGCTTTCAAACCGTGATCGAGCATGCTACCAAGGTTGCCACTCGGCCTCTTGAGCGGGGCAACGTGATGAGGCAGAGCAGATTTTCTTGACTGCTTGTCTTTTGCCAATTTAGCATCCGACTCGGGTGTCGACTTGACGCCTTCCTCGCGCCTATATTCTACTTTCGAATCGGCTTGAAAATGGTCTTGAGTGCGTGAAGTGATACAGTCAATCGCTGCAGCGTCCTGCTCATCGTCTTCATCACCATTATCGTCATTTTGAACTTTCCACAGACTAATGCGCCGCAATTCTTCGCAACCACGAACTCCATTACGATAAGTTTTTAGTTGAATGCCTTCATTTTGCAGCGACACATCAGGGAAGTTTGTGTCCAGCAACATTTGTTCTTCTTCTCCGTTCTCAAGATATACGTAGAAAGTATAGTTGTAGTAAAGCAGAACAAGCACTACACCACCTACATGAATCTTGCTCGCGATTGCCTCAACGTCCTGACACAGTCAAGTAATAAGTCATTTCTTGGGCACAATAATACAGCAATAGGTGGTCTTACCTGAAACGCAGAACATTTGTTCAGAGCAATCTCAAAGAAGCACTCGACATTATCGTCTTCCAGCCAACTTCGAGCATTACCCTTGCTATTAACAAACGATCCACCAGTCTGAGCCAATGTCTGCACAAACTGCTCTGCATTAGACATTTCTTCTTGAATAGCGGGCACAACTTCAGCAAGATGCTCCATACATGGAGTAAATAAAGACGTTGCCGGCATCTTCGAAGCTTCACACATGAACGTCTAAAGAACCAATTCAATAGCAGTGACACACTATTGTCTTAGGCAGATAATAAAAATTCCTTAGCTTACCAAAGCACTTTGCTGTCGTCTTAACATGGGAATGATGACGGGAATGTCAGCCAATTCAAGCTTTGGTCCCAGATCCACATGTCCATTATAACACCAATTTCCAAAACGAAAAAGCACCTCGCGCAGACTCGAAGCACTCGTTGAGCCATCCATACGTGGCGTACGCCGAATGAGAAATGTCTGGTTGTAACCTGTGCCGCTCACGTCTGTGCATTGTACCTTTAACGGTCTTGGCCGACTTTGATGCTTACCAGCGTTTGCTGCTTGCCATAACGTGAGTTTCTTCATGTTACTCCAATCATCGTCACAGTATGTTTGAAGGTGAATGCCCTGCAAATGAGCAGATAGATCCGGAAAACGTACATCCAACAAAGGTTGCTCGCCGTCTGCTGCCTGCAGCACAACGTAAAAACTGCGTTGGTAGTAAATGACCACGAGCACAAGACCTCGTACAAAAGTTTTGCTTGCTACGAAATCGACTCCATCAAAGCATTCGTAACCACCGCTTTGTAGCTCAAAAAAGGTCTTTGAATCGCCATCGTCGTCACTATCTACCCATGTATGTTTCTCAGCTGCTTCTAACAATTTGTGCTCAATCCGTTCGCTTGAAAGCTCTGCACCGATAAAGTCGTAAACATCGTACAAAGTCTCGAGCGAAGAAGAATATTGAGACGTTGGAGGCAAAGCTTTCCATTCGCTAAGGTACTGTAACGATGCCTGTTGTTTTTGTAAAGCAGGGATAACAACTGGAAGATCAGCAAGCTCAAGGTCGGCATTGCCCAAGTCGACTTTTCCACTGTAGCACCAATTGCCACAACGAAAGAGAACTTCATGAAGATTGCTCTTGCTGGACTGAACAATGTACGTTTGGTTATATCCGTCACGTAAAGCTACAATTTCAGGATCAGGAGCTCCTGACTCGTCTGTGTCAATGTCATCGATAGCCTTAAATGAAGCTTTGAGCTTAGTCGACGCGTGATCTTCCTCACCCTTTGCCTCCATGATTATCTACTTCGATGCTTTCAAAACTGCCAAAAATGGAGGGACCTTTCCAGATCTACTCTGCGGTTGCGAAACCATCAGCATCACAACTTGAACTAACTCTGGACAAAATATTCATTCGAACGAATTATAACAAGTTGGCAAAACTAACCATTATCTACAAGATACAGTGTGCACTATTTGATCATCTACCATTTGTGCGGCTGGGCCCAAACACCTGTGGCCGTTGCAACAGGTGGTGGAGGAGAAGCTTGGGGCTTAAGGGGCTTCGACCAAGCGTTTTCAATCGCCAATGCAGGCTGTGGTGCTGCGATTGCTGCCACTCCGGGTGGTGGACCCCACGCTGCACCAGGAGGGGGTGGCCGAGCTTGACGACGAATCTGCGGATGATGAAAACGCGTATGATAGCCACGTAGAATGGCTTGTATCTTAATGGCAGCTTGCGCTTCAGTGAGAGGTAGCGCTTCTGGAAAGGCTGTACCGACCTTGGTGTCCTTGCCGCAACCGAACGCGAAACATTTAATGTTGACTAGGTAAGGTCCTAGCTGAACGTGGTTGTTCTCTTCGCCATTAAGAAAGCATATTGTATACAGTGCCATCTCGAATTCTGGACTCACTCCAATCAAACTGTAGCATTTGCATCAAAGAGTCAATAAATTAGTGTAGAGATGGGATTAATAGCGCACCTCGTGGACACTAGCTTGATTTTATTGTCCCACTGGAACTGGAATGTGATGAGCTGTTCTTTGTTGTGTGGTTCTAAGAACTTACATCCTCGTTGCTTGGGACGGATGTACCCTCTGTAATCAATGCGACCTCTCCGCTCTTCGTTATATACCTGAAGCCAGTTGTGACAGCCACAGATTTTACCCTGCAAATGGCAAGTCGGTCATCAAACAACAGCGTATCCTCTCGGAATTTTCTACGCACAATTTTTTCCTCGCCCACAAATACATGCTCGAAACCTGATGAGTCGTTGCGTGTTTTTCGGCGGTACAATCCAAACCAAATGAGCTCTAACTTTTTCTTAAAATCCTTCATATCCCCCGTGAATTTCCTATTCTTCACCAACCATCTACAATTTTCCAGTAAGAGTCAAAGTCTTGCATTCTACAAGCAACATGAACAACATACGCGTGTGCATAACGCATAGGTGCAGTATCGATCACGGCATTCAAAAACGCATTGTTTTCCGCTAATTCTTTAGGTGTCACCCGCTCTGATTTTCCTGTCTATACAGCAACCAACCACATTGTCAGCAACAATAATCTACATATAACATTGTGATAAAACACGTACCTCGCGTTCGTAGTTGTCTAGCAGGTCAAACAGCAATTTAAATGTTTGGCGCTCAAAAATGGACGGATCCACGTATGTAAAAAGCATCTCATGCGCAACATCGCCACGAGCATAAGCACTTTTCCCCTCTTGCAGATTTAGCTCATAATGTACATTGGGCTCGAGCCGGTTGGTATCTAACTCCCAGAGCTTGTTGCAAGCGGCTGATAGGCTCTTAAGCTCTGCAGCTGTAACATGCAAAGGAAGATATGATAAGAGTGTTCCTAATTCCCTTGTATTAAGTAAATAATACAACGTCTTACACGGTAGGATTGTGCTGGCCATGGCGAAGATATTAGCTCGAGGTGTTAGGAGTGGATTAGGTAATAAACTGACGTACGTCCTGCATAATGTATCAGCTGTTATTTTCTCCAAAGTATTGATCCCGGCCAATCATGAGGTATTCTGTTTGATAACTTTTTGACAGTGCAGGTATTAAGGAGCATGGGGCGAAATCACAAAAGGCAAGGAGAATGGCACGAATGAGTACAACAACTGTGTCTATCGCTAGAAGAAGATGGAAAACATGTTTAATTTATTTAAGATTGATTGCAACAAAGGTGGATATGATGACCAATGCAGCGCGCAAAGCTATGGTATAAATCCTCAATCAATCTAGAATTCGGAAAAACTAGTTGCCTGATCTAACTTTCTGCGTTTATCTATTTTGGTGAAGCTCCGATTTGATGATCTGCATCTTTCGGCAAGTCTAGTCTCTTATAATCATACCACTTTAGCCAAAATTATCACCATGAACTCAATGTAAGCGATCATGAAATATATTTTTCATAGATCTTAAGAGACGATACCTTCGACACGAGTTAGCTACCGCGCGTTTGACTTCACAATGGATCGTGGGCGCTGTGTTTAAAGCTTATTCTCTTGGACACGCAGAGTGGGATTCAAGACGGTGACGAGTGGGTAGTCTTCGTTGTAGCCACTAGCTCGTCAGCTACAATTTCAACCACCTCGCTTGATTCGTCAATCTTAAAAGCATCATCATCTGTGGCTGTGCTTCGGTCGGCCTTATCAGCGGTTGATAACCCGTGCATGCGCCGTAATATTCTCCAAAAGCCATGCTGTATACGACATGACGAAAGATAATTCAGTCTTGTTATTCATTTGCAAAACTAATTGCATTGAATGTTTTGATCGCAACACGGACTTCAATCTCGGTCAATGCCTTACAAATACAGGAGCAGACGGGTTCCAGTGGTGTTGATCGAACTTTGCCTGTCTTCTTGTACGCCACTTAGTCGCTCTCCTTCAATGCTTGAATGACGGGTGGGAAGTTGGTTATCGCAGCTACTTATTTGTAAGCTATAACTTTAATCCATCGACCGCTTCATTCAGATCATGAACGCTAAAAGCATCATCATCAATGACTGCGCCGATTTGACCCAGCACCCTCGCCAAAAACTATTTGCCCAAGCTATATTTTTGTCGGCGAATGCCTACGCGAGAATGGAGCCCTTTCTACACTCCACCCCACCTCTGCAAAATTTGCGCTCCTCGCACGCTTTCTGTGTAATTTAGCTCAACACACCACCTCGCAACTCACGATGCGATCCAACTCGTTATAATGATAAGCTGGCTCAGCGGGCCGAGCTTTCTCGACTGCTAGTTTGAGTCGCGGCATAGAGTATGTCACGTTGGAATTATCGATGCAATCATGTAAGAGAAATACCAACTCAAGCAGAGCGCAAAACTTGAGCTCAATATGTACGTTACCGCTTACGTCTCTCCGCAGCGGTTAAAAAAATTTGTGCCCAATGAAGCTTTTAGCAATAGAACATACATCTGCGATGGATATTTGTCATTAAGGTAAAATGACCAAGTGACCTCTCCTCTCATGCGGTTTTTCAAGCCATTTTACTGACATAGACGTCAGACCAGAGAGTCTCCTTATGCACGACTTTGCGAAATACAAAGCGCTTCGTCGAGGTAAAGCACAGCATCTAACAAGTAGCATAGGTTCACAGATGACATGAATTGTGCGATCCAAATTTGTAAGGCCAGAATCGTGATATCTGATAGGATAGCTTGCAGCTTTAAGATAGTTTCTGCTGTCACGCCTACGCACCATGTGACACTCTTTTATAATCGATTGGTCCCATACGATGACATGCAACTATCATACTTACATAAGAAAGTAGCGCGAAAAGAACATTAAGGCATCAATTTTCGCGGTATCTAACAGCAATTCAAGACTCACAACGATGCATCTCAAAACAGGCTCCATGAGATCACTTGGCAGTACGACGAAACAAGACCAATGCTAGAGATAGCTGTCTATTTTCGCGAATTGCCAAATAAATCACATACACTCGCGCTGCACACGGCAGTGTGATTCGGATGCAAGAGCTCGACTTCCCGTGCTTTGCATGACTATAGACGAATCCATCGTCATATTATGTGTGTTGTGTATACACGTTGCGGGCTCAATAGCGAGACCACCAGACGCTTAAATGTCTTTCGGTGTGAAAAGACATCCTTCAGGGTATAACAAGCCATTTCCCCAAACATTCCATCCCAAACGTTTACTGAATTGAGCGTATATCACCCATTCACATGATACTTATCCATTTATCAAGTTTAGAGTGCAGAAAGGGTCATGCAAATTCGCCAAACATAATATAAAGAACTGACTGCATTTAGCTTATTGTACGCATCCATGATCTAACAAATGCCATACGTCTTTCTGACAAAGTAAGATAGTGCTATGTGGAAAGTTTAACGCTCTCTCATCAACTTGAATTCGTGTATAATCAAACATGAGCGACGTCACACAGTTCTAGCACTTCGAGCTAATGAGTTCTGACGCAATGTTTGTTCAATTTATTAGGTCAATTTCATGACGCAACCCCTGATCCGGGAGGCAACATGCCTGGTAAATCTCACGTCACCACGTTGTGACATTCCGTGAAAGTGAGAAAAGCATCCGTATATTACTGACAATCACTAGCATAGTAGCCGCTTCAATTCTCAAACTCAGCAATCTGTGAGTACGAATTTTTCATGACAAATAATGAGCTCATCTCCCTCTTCCAATACCAGCAGTTACAACTTCGAGATAGCTCTGCTCTCAAATAAATTCAATGCATCTTCGAGATATAGTCATTAAAGCTCAAATTGACCTTTTACCTCGGGGGACTTCTGCGTTGTAGAAGTGCACCGGTCACTCCATCCACGAGTGAAAACATTTTTCTCTCCACGATATGGCGAGATATCGCTATTTAGCAGACCTCTAGATCGAGACGAGGATAGACAGTTCTTGAAGAAGTCAATGTCAGCCGTGACTGCAATCCCATGTCTCCACGCAACCCTGCCCTGGAGACTTTGGCTCAAAGCCGCTCTTACTCGTCATCACAAGATCAAATTATGGAGCCCTCAAAGCCCAGTTGCTCTTAATCGTTACATAAGGTTTATTTGGAATACCTCACCTGGCCGCTTAGACATCCTTCTAACGCGATCTACAATCTGGAGATCGCAATATACTGCTCAATTTTTTTTGTATCCTGCTCAAACTCTTTTGCAGCTTCATGCCTGCACTAAAAGCACATCTTCTTTCTAGAAGCTATGAAATCATGACTCATCAAAGCTTCACTAAAGGAGAGTTACATGGCACTCGACAATCCAAGGCCCATAATATTTTAGCCAAACTTAGGATTAGATCGTAGCTCGAAATCTAGGTAAACAACCAGACATTTCCGACGCTGTCAAAGATCTTAAGCTTTTGAAAGAGGCTAAAAGAACCACTGCATCTCCCCATCGTGAGATGAACATATTTGATATCCATACTCAGTATTCGCATTCTATACTGTATCCTAGTACTGTGCACCACTTGTGAGCACAGCTCACCCTTAAATATATCAGGGCTTTCCGAGGCTTCACAAATCCGGAAAGTTGACTTTCACAATTGACAGATCTGGGCTGAAAGCCACAACCCATTAAGAAAAAGTCGTTTTTTTGGCTGGGTCACACTTACCTCGACCTCAACGAGGTAAGGTTGAAATTGCTAGTTTCCGAAAAGCCACCCTGAGCCTACATATATCCACGAAAGGAGTGTCCTAGGTAGCTCGATTTGTAAAGCCTCTAATTCGCAAGCTGATGAAACGCGCAGACAACTCCTCGCAAGACTGGATATATTGCTTTTAAAACCGACTCTACCAAATAGGAAGTTGTGATCAACACCAAATGTGATCTCACCGCTTTTTCAGGAAGGTAGCTGCCATTCCAGCTATTATCTCATATTCTTCTACGCATTTTCTTTCTATTGATAATTGGCTAAAATTTTGACCGCAAGCGGTCACCTTGATTAGGTGTTCTGAATGGAGCTAATTCTTTTTGAATGACAAAAGCCTACTAATTTTGAAGGCTCAGAAAGTTACAGCTATTTTCCATTCAGCCCGAAGAGTATCGTTAATCATCGGACGACCATAGGCCAATTCGTCATCGTCCGCCACCGACTCTTCTCGATGAGGATGGTGGCTTCAATCACGTGTAACGCCTTCTGGGTCGACGTCGTCGACGAGATTTAACCATATATCTTGTGAAGTGGCGGGGATACTCAACCTCCGAGAACTCGTGGGAGTTTGAGGTGCCACTTCAGCAAGATTGCCCAGATGTCGTGGACGCTTATGATCGGAGCGGTTATGCCGCTCCGCGTCGTCTTGCGCACCGCGCTTTTCCGCAGTAGCCCGAGAAACCGGAGGGCCATGAGCTGAGATCAAGCAATGGCCCCGAGCTGCTGTGGTCGTAACCTCATTCGTGTGATTAACCACAGAGCTCGAAGGAGCGTTATAAAGTGTTTCATATGTCGCAGGGCGACAATACGCAGGAAGTTGGCGTTGCGCTTTGAGTTCGGCAAACTCAAATCTATAATGGCGCTCAGCGCGCACGTCCACTTCCTTGTGGCTTCCGTGTCAGGTAGACAGCGAAGAAAAATTCCAGTATCGTTGTAACCATCGTTCAAAGACCCCATCGTCATCTGCAGTGGATTTTCAAGGGCGAGCACCACTCGGATGGTCTGCATTGCGGGAACAGGAGCACCTCCTTTTTGAGCTGAGCGCGGTACCGATTCATTGGTCTTTGGGGTACCAAAAAGCGAGCTCGCAGAGCTTTCCGCTGATCAAGCTTAGCTTGTGTAGTGGCCGGAGGCCCGACTTTATAGACGCCTAACGATCGAGTGATTGCGTCTTTCGCTTAAATAGCGGGATCCGCCGAGCGGAAGCCGTATTCCACACGAGGGTCTAAGACTGAACATGGATACGAGCGCAGGAGAGCCGCCCTGTGAGCAACCTCCAATTGCTGCTCTTGTGCCTCGTCGAGGCGATTGGTAATAATACCACTTCCCCTGAAATCTAGAGGTCGGGGAACGCAGGGTTTGAGCTGGTATCACGTCGCGCCGTTGGCGCACTTCATCTTCCTCGTCATTCCAAGGAGTGTCCGACTCGTAGACGACCTTCTCCAACTCCCCGACGGAAAGATCCGTCGCCCAGGCGGGCGTGTTGT